GACCGGAATACGCGCAGGCGGGCGATGGGGAACGCGAGGGCGACGGCCGGTCCTGGGCGGCGCCGGCGGGGGTGGTGGTGGCGGCCGCGGCGGCGGCGGAGGCTCGGGTCTGCATGGCGCGAGCGCCGTCGTCGTCGTCGTCAAAGTTGACGTCGTAGTCGGCGTCCTCCATGTCGTCGTCGTCGTCGTCCTCCTCCTCCTCGTCGTCGTCGTCGTCCTCGCCGTCGTCTATCACCGAGCCGGCTCTGGACTCCCCGCTCAGCGGTTCCGCGTGGAGCTGTGCCGTTGCGGTGGTGGCGACGCCGCGGGGCCGCAGGGAGGCGCGGGACGACCGCGACCCCAGGCTCGAGATCTGCGCGGGACGTGCACACACACGCACACAAATGCACGTACACACGCGTACACAACAACAACCGTCATTTGACACTAGTGGTGATGACATCACCATGGCATCGCCACAGCAGGCTAGGTACACTCCGAGGCCACGTGAAGTGGCGAAGGCTCGCTGCTGGCAGGAGTTCACGGGACAGACCCAGGTGCCATGATTTGACTGACCGAGATGACTGGCAGACGCACCAGCTGTGGCCTCTACTATGCCAACTTGTTGGATTTTAGCCACCCGGCGCTCTGCTCGTTGTTGTGAGCATCGCTGCTCTGCCCTCTGTTGTTGTTGGAGGGCGACTGCCTCCAATTGCCCAGTAGCGTCCTTAACCAGCCTCCTCCACAGAGGCCGATGTTGACACCACTGGTACCAGTCATTGGCAAGTCCACTCAGATCTGTAAATTCTTGTATGACATTACTCTATCTCTTCTGTAGACCGTGGCGTGCCCGTTTAGCAACCTCAATCTGGCCGAACAAAAGCTGTTTTAGCTTGCGGTGGTGGGGCATGTGGGCTGCATGACCCAGCCAACGCAGCCTTGTCTGCCAGAGGAGCTTACCGATGGAACTTTGTCCAAATCTTTCAAGGATTTGTGAGCTCCTCACACAATCCATCCTGGT